GCAGTTGCTTAACCAACTGAGCCACCCAGGCGCCCTCCCTTTTTACTTTAAATATGTGACTATAGACCATATGTGGGAGGGCAGGGGGTGGTGGTGGTGGTGGCAGAAATAGGGGGAAGGGGTAGATAGAAGCAGCAGAGATCACCCGTTAACTAGTGATTTGCAGAGCTCCCTTTGGGAAAGGGCATTCTATCCATTATGCTTCTATTTTAATGATTATCATCTAGTTCTGCTAAGGGCTGTGATGACTTCCCAGCACGTTCTTATCTAACTTAAGAAAGTGCTTTCTGGGTCCCTAAACAGTCCAACGATCAAATGGCATGCCTCAGGAACCAGAGAGCTCACTAACAGGGTAGGTAATAACAATAAGATAATAATAATAGTGGATAACACTTGAAACTAATGTAACACTGTATGCTAACTAACTGGAATTAAAATTAAAACTTAAGAAAAAGAAACAAAGGATAATAGTAGATAACATTTGGGGGGTACTTATTATGTGCTCCTGAATGCTTAGTCACTATTCTGGCCTTTCTCAGATTCCACATTGAACAGTCACAAGAAAACCCAGGAAGCGGGCATTGTGATCCCCACTTAATATATGAGAAAGCTAAGGCACAGCAAGGCAACCCCCCCAAACATATGTTCTTAGCCATCACCCCCTGCTTACAAGAGCGACTTATGTGAGATTTGCCCACTGAGGAAAAAGCTGTTGGATGAGCTTTCAGTCTTCCTCCAATTGAACCTGCTTAAGAACAATAACAAAAAGAAAGATAAAAATTAAAATTAGTTTAGTTGTGTAAATTACAGAAATATATATTTTCAAAAGCCAGAAACTATTGAATTTTTTTTTCTTTCTATCATGTGAAGACCCTTTTTTTCTCCAGAAGCATATTGGCTGATGACTTTTTAAGAGATTGTTAATGTTTTTCCTCCACAGGGGGACATAAATGCCTTATCTAAACGTATTGATTCTCCCATATAATAACTAGTAAATTAGCTCCCAAATTCAGCAACCATGGCAACTATGAATTCATGCTATCAATCAACAGAGGAAATGTCAAGAATATTAAATTAAGTATTGACTTTGGGGAAGAGTATTGACTTTAATCTTATCTGCCTCCTTCTTGTCAAAGATCCATTTGCTGTATTGACTTCATAAAAAATTAACCTGGAAAAACAAACATAACAATGCATTGCAGCTCATCCTTCTAGAGAAAAAAAAATTACATTACAGATGGAGGGCACTTGACGGCCTCTTGGTCCTATCTATTTTTCATAAAGAAGACTCTCTGAAATAGAATGTATCTGAATTAATAACAGAAGGTTCACCAAATCATAGTAATGAGAGGCAGGGCCAAAGTTAGAATCCAAATATTCTGACTATTAGTGATGGAATCTTTCAAGAACTTTTTTTCCTTAAACAATAGGAGGAGGCCATCAGGAGGGTTTGTGTTCTTGACTTTTTTTTTTTTTTTCTGTAGACTTCCTTTAGGAGAGAAAATGTGGGTTTTACAGCCAAACAAACCTAGATTATATCTCTTAAATCTTACCTTTCCCATTTTCTAAATGGAATTATACCTTTAATATGTTTTCCGTCAGTGCAGTTTTCTCATCTATAAAATTCAGTTAGTGATACCTACTAAACAGGGTAATTGTGAGGATGAATGAAGTCATTTATCTTGAGTGCCTGGTAGTTCATCTTAACTATCTGGCACATTGGTGGTGCCTGACAAACGTAAGGTATGTATAGGATCTTCAGAGCATCCTATTCTCAATTGTTGATCTAAGAGTCCTACAGTTGCATTGATAGAACAAGATAGGGGCTGCACTGCAGGATAGCTAGCTGTGTGTGTGTGTGTGTGTGCATGTGCACACACACATGTATGGGACTTGCACACACTTACATGCATATCAGTGCATGTGTATGTCCAAGACTCTTGGAAGGCCATAGAAAAGGCTACAGGTCAATAGAAAATTAGTTTAATGAGAACTCCGTACCCATTCAGTGGGCTCAATAACAGGCTAAGAGATATGGAAATGCTTTGTCAAACTCCCTCAATTTTCAAAGAGAATAGAGCTGTAAAAATGAGAGATGAGATATGGAGTGTCCAGTGGCCTCCCCGTCATGTCCTAACTTAATGCTTCAACATCCTTGAGGTATTCTGGGTGAGATGGTGGGAGTGGGGTAATCTATTATTATCAAAATGATAGAATTGTTCAAACTAAGTTAGAATAGGTGATCAGTCATGTAAGATATGAAACATTAGTTACAGATATATTTATTTGGTACATTATAAAAAGAAAGGGTTTTTTTTGACAAGATAGAAAATGTAAGCAAATCAATGAGTTCCACCTTAAGGAAAAACTACTTCTACCAAATCCAAATTGCCTGTGTGTATGTATATACATGCACACACACAAAAACACACAAATGTATGTTTGTATGTATTTTTATTATTTTATATAGTGCTTATCTCCCCAGAAGGGAAAAATGGCTTCCAGAAAGCACATGATTAATGAGTTCCACCATCAGGATTAGGACTAAATTTTATCCCGAGTCTAAGAAAGGGTGATCCCAGGCGACCATGGATTCAGAGGAGTGGGCACATTGATCTGATCTGTCTTGTTCCACAGGCTGCTCTCAGCATCCATGGCATGTGCGGGGGACCAATGCTGGGCTTGTTCTTTCTGGGAATCTTGTTCCCTTTTGTGAACTGGAAGGTAAGGATCCTGCATGTCTCTCCATGATTCCCAGCTAAAACTGAAGCCCAACTTGTTGGGATGAGCACTGGATGAATCACTAAATTCTACCCCTGAGACCAATAAACTACTATGTGTTAACTAACTTGAATTTAAATTAAAAAATAAGCAAAATAAAAGCTCCTGGATCTACCTTTCCAATTGTTTGAAAAATAAAAATAAAATAAATAAAATTGAAGCCCAGCCATTTTCTCTCTCTTCCCACTTGTTGGAAAGACCATTTCTCTGTACCAGGAAAAAAATGGTGGCTATTTTCCATAGTAGAACTAAACTAAACTCCTATCTCTGACTTCAGTGAAGCCTTCTTAGAGACAGGAAACAAGGAAAGTAAGAGATGAACATGAAGTACAGATGTCATGGCATCAAAGTTGACTCTTTAGGGTTTAAATTGTCCTCCCTAAATTCAGGGCCCACAAAATGAAATTTAAAATATATACTGAATTCAGGAAAAATTTAGGTTAAAAAATTTTTGAAAACTTAAAAAACTATGTGAATTTTATTTTTTCCATATTTCATCTAAGGTTATCACAAATTTAATTAACTTAATGAACTAATTTAAGAAAGGGAGAGTAAACAATCCTGGTATATTCTGATCTCACAAGCTAATAGTATATCTTTAAGTAAATGTTGGTTGGATGACTTATAATAAATATAAATCAAAATGAACATTTATTTGGAAAAATAGTAACTCTTTAAAATAGCTTAAAACTCATAATTTTCTCAATCTAGCAAAATTGTCATTTTTTTTTTACTTATTGCTGTCCATACATTTACATGCATATATTTTTAGAAAGTCTTTAGACTACAAAAAAAAAAAAAAAGAAAGTCTTTTGACTACAAAAAACCTGACTGCATATTGTTTAAATACTGTAGGATGCTCAATGAAGCCTGAGTCACATGATCTATCTAATTAGGTCTCTGCAGCTATCTGACCCTTGCTGACCTCTATTCTAGATAAATCTTTCAGAGCTAGGTAAAGAGCATGGATAGGTAGGGAGCATTTGGTAATTTGTAGTGCTTCCCTTACAGTCTTATTTGTTTTAATTAACTTTTCTGATATTGAGGTTGACAAGGATAACTATGTTTTGGGGAGATGATAGGAAAGGCAATATCCTGGCCATGAAAAAACTAATAATGAGCTATATAGTATATAACATCTTTGTCCTTCTACACATTAACTTATTATCTATGTTAGTGAATTGTGGTCCTTCTATTTAGTTCAGAAAACTACCTTGTTCCAGGTAAAGGAAAGTAAACATTACAAATTTGGGTTACCTCCCCCCTTGTCACTGTCCATGGCTGATACTACTAATCAGTCACGGTTCTCTTTCCACAGAACGTGGATACAAACCCAGAATCCTTCTCAGGATGGCTTTCTAGGCAGCTACTGTAAATCACTGAGGGTTGAACCTCCTGCTGAAATCCATTCACCCTTTACTGGTAGGCCAGGGGACAGCAAACTACACCCCTCAAGCCAAATCTAGCCAGCATCCAGTTTTCGGTAAGGCATGCAAGCTTAAAATGGTTGTGACATTTTTAAGTGGTTGGAAAAAATTAAAAGACAGTATTTCATGACCCACAAATATACGAAATTCACATTTCGGTGCCCATAAACAGTTTTACTGGTCATAATTATTCTCCGTTATTTACATATTGTGTATGGCTGTTTTTGTGCTATAGGGCAGAACTAAGTAGTTGTGACAGACATTGGATGGCCCACGAAGCCTAAAATATTTCCTAGCTGGCTGTTTGTAATAGAAGTTTGCGGACCCCTGGTCTAGACCAAGGCACAAGTATTTGAATCATATACATTGCTTTAGTTTCCCCAAACAATAGTGAACAAAACATTCCAGTCCTCTTATCAGAAAGTATTTTCCTGGATAAATAAACTAACAAGTTATTTTCTCTGACGGAGAAGGCTCAGCTGTCCAGCAGAGACTGGGAGCATCCAGATTTATTCTCCAGTTCTGGTCACTGCCAGAGTGCTCTATCTCCTATGCAGGAGAAATGACTCAATTACTCATTGACTTTTCACTGTTTATCAAGGAATATAACCCTTAAATGACAAGACTAGTAAATATGCTTGCTAGTATTTAGACTCAAACAAAAACTCCAAGCTTGTGAGCCAGGGTCTCTGCCAGAATCACTTGGGAAGAGATATGGGAGACAGCTAATCGCTGTCAATGAAAAACGACCACTTTGTCTCCAGTTTCTGAGGTTTTCCTGTCAAGCTTCTGAAACTCTTCTACTGGGAACCGAAGTCTCAACAGGTGTTTTTCCCTTCAGTTTTGAGATATAATTGGCATATGAAACTGTATAAGTTTAAGAAGTTCAGAATAATGAATTGACTTATATGTAGTGAAATAATTACCACATTAAATTTACCATATCATACAGATAAAAAAAGAAAAAGAAAATTTTTTTTCTTCAATGAAAACTTTTAGTATGTACTCTCTTAACTTTCGTGTATATCATACAGTAGTGTTAACTACAGTCATCATGTTGTACATCTCTCAACAGATTAAATGGTAAGAAGAAGCTAAAAGGAGGGGAAAAATTTCCTGCTAGAAATCTAAAAATAGTGACCATTATGACATTCTCCAATGTTTTCATTGAAGGAACAAGTGACTTCTAAGTAAAACTGCATTGTGGGAGTTGGAAAAAAGGCAGTTTGGGTGGACTGTTTACAGCCCATGTGGCCAAGACTTGGGATGGATAATAAGAATCTCTGAGGCATGGACTCATCTCCTTTTATTTTCAAAAGCTTTGTTAAATCTCTCCTTGACTTCTTCTTTCCTTTCATCAAGGGTGCATTAGGTGGCCTGCTGACTGGAATCACCTTGTCATTTTGGGTGGCCATTGGAGCCTTTGTCTACCCTGCACCAGACTCCAAGACATGGCCCCTGCCTTTATCCACAGACCATTGTGTCCCATCAAATGTAACAGAGTCAGTGCCTACAGTGCTACCTAGCAGGTATGTGGACCTTGAAGATGGTGTTCGGTCCCAGGGAGTGCGTAACCGGGATAGAGGGAGATGCATTCTCCAGGGATAAGTCCAATGAGCCAGATCTTGCTTTCCTGTGAGAATCGCGCCAGGCTGTGCCCAGCATTGAAGAGTGCCGTGCAGGGCTGTTGAATCTTCCGCAGATATCCATTACCCTCATCCCGGGATTCACAAGAGTGAACTCAGCAAAAACATTAATCGGAAGTCTAAGTGCAAAACAGGAGAAGTAGTGGAGGGTTTGAAAATAGGTGAGTGGATATGAAGATGGTGCCCTTGAAAGAGTAAAGGACCTGAGTAGAATAGGTTTGTGGGCAATGAGGAGAATGGTTGTGGACATACGCAGCTGGGGACACTGATGTGAACTGGCAGCTTCTAGATCAAACTCAACTGGGTTTAACAAAAGATTTTCCTTCTCTTTCTGGCTGGAATAGGTCATTTAAGATACCAAGACACAGGAGATAACACGGTATAGGGAGAAGACCACAGCCTTTGAAATCAGAAATGCCTAGGTTTGGATGTGGGTTTTACCATTTATCCACTCTATGTCTGCACAAGTTAGTAACTTGTCACTTCTTGAATTCTCAAGTCTTTGAAAGAAAAATGAGGGTAATAATCCTTACTTTGCTGGTGTTTTGAGAAGATTGAATGAGAGAAGATATATATAGCCCGTAGCACTGTCCCTGACTTTAATAAATGCACAACCTCACACTCTCATTGTTTGTAGAAACAAATCTAAGAAATGTGGGATAGCTCCTTAACTCTGCATATCAGGTGGAAAAATTATTATGGGCTGTGCTGAGAGATGAAGTAGGTAGAGCTGCATCCTAGAACTGTCCTGGCTACATAGTCTGTGAGCACTCCATTATGTTGCTTCCACTTGCCTCTGAGTTTCATTTAGTTTAGAACCATTCCTTTCCATAAATCTTACAAATAATGGCAACCTATTATAGTTCCCAAGTCCGCCATGTTTCTTCTCTCCTGCTTGTGCTTTTTCGATCCTCTTTTCTTAGAGTGCTAAATCCTGGCCCTAACTACATTCCTTGCTTGATTAGCTACTAATTAGTCTTTAAAAATAAGCTCAGGTATTATCTCACACATAAGCCTGGATTTGATACTCTTTTAAATGTTCCCAGAATCCTTTGCTCCTATTCCACCAAGGTGCTACCATTTCTTTATGATTGCCCATTAGCTCCTCTATGTAGACGTTGTGGCTTACTCATCTTTTTATCTCCAATATCTGTCACAATTCTTGGCACTAAATCTGGGCTTAATAAATGTCTAAAGCTGCAAAGAAATGGGAGGCATGGTCCTCATTGTATCTCCCATAATTTAGTATCTACATGGCAATATTTGTAATGCAAGGATGGGTTGGATTGAGTGCAATACAAAGCACAACTAGTCTACAATTGATCCTTTAAAAAAAGAATAACCAAATGGCAAAATATTAAAGTGTTGGAATTTTGAGAAATGCCAGGCCCTAGAGTGAACTATCAGCGGTCCTCCACATCACTGTGGATCATAACATCAGAACTCATGGAACTGCTGACACCTGCTGTTGTCCACAGACCTTCCATCGCCGATACCTGGTATTCGATCTCCTACCTTTACTACAGCACCGTGGGCTGCCTCGGATGCATTGCTGCTGGGATAATCATTAGCTTCATAACAGGTGGGTTCCATACATTCCTCTCTTTGGGGCCAAGGAAGACATGGGCTGGCCTCATGCATTGGTGGGCTAGGTGGATGGCTTACTGGTGTGATTTTGGATCCATGGCAAGAAGCCCTTCTTCCCAGAGACGCATGTCTACTCTCTCCAAGCTGATATGCAAAACCATCCTCCTGATTATCATATACATATTATTATTAATATATATAACATATGTTTTTATTATTTATTTATTTGACAGAGAGAGAGGGTACAAGCAGGGGGGAGCGGCAGGCAGAGGGAGAGGGAGAAGCAGACTCCCCGCTGAGTGTGGAGCCTGATGTGGGGCTCGATCCCAGGACCCTGAGATCATGACCTGAGCCAAAAGCAAGAGCCAGACATATAACTGACTGAGCCACCCAGGTGCCCCAACAATATCTATTTCATGAATATTAGATATGTTTTGTAGTCTACATAAAATGTGCCTAGTACATAGAAGGTACTTACTAACAAATAAATATTAAGAGCAGTACACTTCTATTTGGTTGAATGTCTTTTGACAGAGTAACATAATGCCAGGGAATATATCATTTCAACTTCAATCTGGAGCTTAAGAATAGATAAAATCTATTTTATCTTTAGAAAGAAATTTGAATTTGGAAAAAGCTTGTGGACAGGCACAGTGTCTGGTACATAGGAGGAATGAGATCAAGGCTGTAACTGATACTCCGCTACCCCATCTAGGGACATTTAGACTAAACTGGCTATTGAATTAAAGACAGCCATTGAATGAGATTGGGTATTTGCGAACAGTTATCATTATACCAAAATTTACAAAGGTTCTAGTCAGGGAACACTGTTAGTCTTTAAATCTTGGTTTGAATATCAATGTGACTGACTCTTACTCCACAGCAGGGTTTGAAAGAATGCGACATTGGACAGGTATGTTTTAATGATTGGAAAGGAGGTGTGAGGAAAGTCTAGACTAGCTGGAGGGAATGTGAGGGTATTGCTAATTCAGGATGCTGGGGTAGAAGGAAGAAGAAACAGTAAAAATAACATTTTGAATTTTACAAATAATGACTCTGATGACCTCTAATATATCTGATGTGGCTGAAAAACTGAGTTTTCCTAGAGGAAGAAATTATGATTTATGCTATCCCTCCTGGTAACCTACAAAGTGTAAGAGTAGAGTTTTCCATAATCCATATTTAAAAATAAATATGGTATCTCTGCTTAACTATCTGTGAGTTTGCCTGACCTGACAGTTCGTGGGTATTTAAAAACTATCCCCACACTCACTTTGAGCAGTTACCAATTTCTGTCTATTAACCAGTCAGGCCTATTTTCACCCTTATACTAAGAAGTGACCTACTTAGTAAGTATACAATACTTAAACCCTTAACAAAGCCTTGGAAGCATGCAATCACCTAATCCGTCTGTCCTTCTGTTAATAGGTCACCAGAGCAGCAAGGATATTCAACCACTGCTAATTAGACCGGTTTGCAATTTATTTTGCTTTTGGTCTGAAAAGTACAAAAGACTGTGTTGGTGTGGTGTTCAGCATGACGGTGGGACGGAGCAGGTGAGCTGATGTGTGAACTTCTGAAAAACATACGAGCTCAAAGGGCCTCCCTTTTTGCCGATTTAGACCACCTGAAAAGTGGCTGTGAGAAAGGAAGACAATGAATGTTACAACCCGAATCTTGTTTCAACTTCAGTTACCTGGCTAATTAGCTTCTGAGCACATAAATATGTTGATAGGTAAATGTATCTTTAGGCTGAATTGTTGGCACTGCAAGTGATCAATTTCAAAAATTCCTGTTAACCCTTCCAAAGGTGAATTCTAGGACAAACATAAAAATGAACAGTAGAAAAGGAATAAAACAGGGGTAACAGTCTAGTATCATGGTGAAAAGCACAGCCTTGAGGGTCAGCCCTGGAGAGAATCCTGGTTCTGCGTCTTACTTGCCTTGGGTAAATTGTTCAACCTCTTTGAACTGCAGCTTTTACCTGGGAACCGGGAGGAGATCATCCAGTGCCACCCAGACACAGACATCTCTAGCTCCATGAAGTGTAAATATAGAGTCAGAGGGACAGGGGGAACTTCTTAAAGAAGCAGCAGGATGCACATCTTTCCTATCCCACCGAGAACTGTGTTTAGACCAGGCAGGGCTAGAGATACTCTCCAAGTATTATTAGGGTTGTAGCAGCCAAAGACCACCAGGAACAGCCTGGGGTCAGACCAAATTGAGTTTGTTGACTTGATGCATCTCCGGGCGGTGAGGACACTCCAGGGAAGCACGCAATGCCACCCTTAACAAGAGGGGTGCTGGACATGACTTTTGTAAGCTTTGGGTTCCCACTGAAGGATTCTGAGAGGAGTCTAAGGGAAGCTGGGAATGAAAACAAAGCTGTCTGGGGCCCATTTGGTAAGAGAGCAATAATCCCTCACGTTGTTATGGCATTTGACAACAGCAGAACCTTGGGAGATGTAATGTTTCCTGTTAAGTTTGCAAATGGTCTTACCTATGTCTGTCCTCTCGGCCTCTTTAAGTGCAGGAGTGTATTTTTTTTCTTCCTTTTTTTAGTTGCGGCTTATTCACATTCTTTCAGTCGCAGACATTTTGTTCTTTTAGTACTCTAGAAGACAAACTCTGCACCCATATCACATCACCTAGGTTGTTAATTGTTCTCCTTCCCCCAAACACCCTAATAACATGTATATGAAGTAAAGCTGAGTGTAATAGTTACTGAAGTAAGGAGAGCACCATCATGACAGGCGTTCAGAATGTGAAGGCAATCTATTTGGCTGAGAAAGCAGCTGATCGAGCACTGTATTGTTTGGATAAATGGACTTTTGAGGAAGTTCTAGAAGGAAATAATCAAGTTATTTACTGATTTACAGACTTATGTTCTTGGGCAAGAATTTCCTGGGATGGATGATAAATCCTGTTGATACAGGCAGCTTCTGTCCTCAAGGCTGCACTGAGAGGGGGAGGAAACACTTAGTATGTCGTTCTTGGGCTCCTTCCCTGAAGAATGACATTGGGCAGCCTCTGGGGGAGTCTGCCTGCAGGTCCCCCTCTTATGATCTAGAGGCCTTGCTCTTCACAGGAAGGAAGGGCACCACCACCATCTGAGACATAGGTTTGTCTCTCCTCAGGAGCTGAGACTATTACCTTACAGGGCTACAATACTAACTGACAGATATACAATATACATTTCTTCACACAATGCAAGTTATATTGCAAATGCTTACTAAATTGTTCTTTCTGTTTTCATTATCATTAGAAATAGTACCTACATGGACTGAGTCATCATAGTTATCAATCAAGAAAGGCATTGCTTTCATATTTACATGTCATTTGATTCGATATCATATCATGTGATCATATATCATTTGAGGGGGAGGTGCTCAGCTAGATTCTCTCCGTGTGATTTGGAATACATCAAGAGTAACTCCCTAATATGTCTTTTCATTTTCCTCAGGAAAACCTTGAGAATGGCAGTTCCTGGAAACAAGGGGCTGAATCTACCTTACAGAATGGACTCAGGCAAGAAAACCTGGTCCATATTCCAGGCCATGATCCGAAGGACAAAAGCTACAGCAATATGGCGTTCGAGAAGATTACCCATTTCTAACACATGCACAAAAATATAAACCCCCCGCACACACACACGCAGATACACACAGTCCACATCCTGCTTGCCTATTGGTTAGTAGACGTGTGTAGTTGTCACTGCTAGAAGACAGGGATGTCTAATGTCTATTTATACTTATTTATAACTACAAATAAAATGACTGTTCCCCTGGATATTCTCAGGACATTTTTTGGAAGACCCCAACTTTCAGGTGAGAAGAAACAGCCCACCCTTAAGTGCCCTGGCAACTTCCTCCTGGATTAAATTAGGACTGGATGGCACGGCAGTGTAAAGAGTCAGTCCCTTTGGTTTATGTCATATTAAACTTCAGGGTGTTTTGTTTTGTTTTATTTTATTTTTTGGTAGTTCTTGAGCCATCACATATCTTGGAGTTCACAGGTTGAATGTGGAAGGGGGTATGCATATTAAATGTTTCTCCATCACTGCTGATAAAATGAAGGATTGCCATCCACCCGACCCCCATATCTCACATAGATGGAGACACATTTCACAACACCCCACGTTGCAGTTGCAGTTGGGACACTTAACTGCCATTAACCCCCTCACCCTGCACCACACCCTCATACGTTGAAGTCCTCTTCCAGTCATCCCTCCTCCTACAACTGTCCCGACCAAGCCTTAGAAATAATTTTGCTCAGCACAGGAGAGGGACTGGTATATCTAGTTAGTGCAACAGTGATAACTAAATACGCTTCTATCTTTGGGCTCTTGGTGTAGTAGGTCTTTCTATCACCTTACAAAGAAAAATTGATTCTGCTCAACAGAAGTCTAGAGTCTTTCCCCAGGGCCGGGTAAAGAGGAACAAGGAATGTCCTATAGGAGACTGTTAGGATAGCATTGTGGAAAAGAACCTCGCAAATAGCTTACCGGCCCACAGATTTCACTAGTCATGGGGTCTTCTTTGGTGCAAAATATCTCATCGACAGGATTTACACTGCACTGATTCAGCTCTGACGTGCAAGCTCAACGTGTTCCATCAGGCTTAGGTGACAGATGAAAAGATCTATATGGTTGAATTCTTGAAAATACTTTTTAAGTTCTGGAGTAAGAGGAAACTATAGAACAAAAGTTGTTAAAAAATGGAGAGGCAGTGAAAGCTTTTTGGAAAAAGCAAAGAAACAAGATCCTGAAAAAGTAAAAAAGAACCAGTGCCACAGGGGCTAGATCAGAGGGAAGATAGTAGAAATAAGCCAGTGTTTCAGTGTCACGTACATTAAGACAGGTGTCAGATATTTATTTTGGTGGCCAGGTAAGATCAAAGGCCTAGAAGTAGTATGTCAGCAAAATAAAAAGAAATGGTCCAAATGGGCAAGGGTAAGAAACCCCAAAGGCTATGTTGTTTATATGTAATCCAGGAGGAGAAAACCTTAAAAGAAGCATGAGACAAGGAAAATATTATGTAACCAGTATTTGTTATTAGGGAGAGAAGATAGAAAAATGGGGAAAAATTCAATGAAGGAATTAAAAAACAGCTGGAGTTCATAAGCCACAGCCCAATGCTTGCCTTCTTTCCCTCCACTCTCAATAGGAGAGGAGAATAGAGGAAGAAAAAGAGAAAATTGGGTTGTGGCTTATCAGGAAGATGAGAAAAATACATTTGGAAAAAGGAGGAAAGAAGTAAAAAGTAAAAATACATTTGGAAAAATATCTGAAAATGAAGGAAAAAAATCATGAAAATGAGAAATGTCTAAAAACATTTTTTGAGGTCCAGCAAGCTAATGAAGGTGTTGATCTAAGGATTTGCAAATTGAAAGGTGCAATTATTTTCCAAATGATTTAGTAGTTAGGACATTCCTATGAATTAGAATTTCGAGAATGTATTAGGTGAATGTTGAAATCTGGGCCAAACCTCATTGGTTTAGTTATTATCTAACCAATGGAAGGGAAGCGACAACTCTGAGGATGAAATTTGATAAACAGCAGCCATGATATATGTGGCTTCCCCCCATCCCACAGAGGAATGCTTTATTGACAAATTGCTCATTATTCACTTTAAGGAAAAGATAAATCAGTTACCACCCCAGCATCCTGCCTTCTCAGCACACCCTGTCAGAGATTCTAACGCTGGAGAAAGAACACGGAGTGGTGTTCTTTCCACGGCAACAGCATGGGTGGCAGTCCCTGAAGGGTGTCTGAACTGAGCAGTGGCCACTCAGGCATCAGAGAGCACATCACAGTCTGATTTTGAGCTGACAGCTCCGCCCCCAGGAGGTCCACAGAGGCCTGCAGGCAGACCTGGTCTCTGCTGCTAAGAACCAGCATGGAGCTGCCCCTCCAGACACACCAGACACGCGTGAGAGGCTGCTGGGGTATAGATGTATGGAATACATTTCAAGATTTTGAACTTTCACTTGGAATTGCATGAAAACAAAATGTACCATACAGTTCTTCATTTTATTCACAAATTTTACTCACAATTTATCCCACCAATATTTCACTCAGACAGCATTTTCCCCAGAAAGTTTTTTAGGATCCTTTTTTTTTTTTTTTCTTTTTTTAGTCTCTAGTTCTCTTACCTGGAGTGATATCAAAGCATCAAATGATTTACAAATGGAAGATATTATTATTATTATCGTTATTATTATTATAAAAATGGCTCTGTCTTCTCTCATGTAATGGAACCTATGGCATTAGGAGTTAACATTTTGAGCACTTGCAGAGGTCAATAGAAGGATCCCTCCTCATTCTTCCTAATTGAACAAATATGCAAAAATCTAAGGCTTCAAGTAGAGTGCAAATGGGAGTCCCAGAGAAAAACCATGTTCCACAGTGTCTAGGAACTGCATCTGTTGTGTGGCTAAACAGAAAGGGACTGTGAAATGCAGTCATACTTCGACTCCTTGGCTGTGACACCTCTCCTGCCCTCACTCCTCCCTACGAGCATGAGCTCAGACTTCTGTCAAGGTTCCCGGGACAGTATAAGATCTGTCCAGTTCCAAGTTCCATCCAAGCCACGGAAACGGCTTAAACCTGTGGTTGTTTTTGCCACAGAACGACCAGGGAGATTCTCAATACACCAGGTAGGAATGATGAGTTCTAGAATAGCCTACAATGTGCCAAACTTAATGCCAGTCTCCATCTTCTTAAATTCAATCACAGAGATTGGTAAAAAACGAAATGGAATGACCTCAGTTGTCTCTTCCATTCGTTCTGAGGAATTCATTTTGAGAACTGCTATTTTCTTTGTCACCATTCGGAGGAAGAAGTACAGCTTCTTGACGGAAGGGGACAGATTGGAGGCAGACAGCTTAGGTTCAGATGCAAGTTCTGACACAAATTATCTCAGGAATTCTTGGGCAAGGCTTTCTAAAGTTTTGTTTATTACAAATTAAAAGGAGCAAAAGTCGTGCCTACTTAGTAGGGTTTTTGCGAGGATTTATAGAGGAAAATCCTATCAACTCGTTAGCGCGGTGACTGGCCCCCATGAAACATTCAATACTTGTTAGCTGCAATATATGAAGAAAGTGATACTCATTACGGTATTCATTTTCAGTTAAATTGGTTCACTGTTTCTCTTTAATTTCCAAGATACTGGCTTAGCATATGGATTAATGAAGCAGTTTAAGAACTAACAAGAACAAGATAACCATAAGCTATAAACTAAAAGTCATGCCATTAATTCCCAGAGGTAGTCTTTTTAATGGCGAATTTAAATAAATTATGTTTTTTTCAGAGAGCAACGTTTCTAAAGGTCTGAAATTCTTGAAAAAAAGAAAAAACCCACTGTTATAAAGAGAGACAAGTTTATTACTGAAAAATGCAATATTCATATTGATGATTTGTTAAGTATTACGTTTGTACTGTAAACAGCATCTCAAGCCTTGTGTATGACTCAGTGCACACTTAACAGCGATTGTGATTCTCCAGACAACAACAGAAGGGGCGAGGGCTTTTCCCTTGTTCAATTCAAATAATATTTCTTTAATATAAATTTCATTCTTTTGTGATTTTATGGGGCTCTAGCATTTCACTTGAAAGAGGAAAAAAAAAAAAAGAAATAAACCACACACCAAGGGGCTTGCAAACAAAATTTCAAAGAGAATATTATTGAAATATCTTTATGGTATTACAGTTTTACTTAAACATTATTACAAAGATCAGATCAGTAAATAGAAAAAAATAGAGCAGTTTCCTTTTACTTGTTCTCTTAGAAATAAACTGTTTTAAAATATTACAGAAATTTAAGCTCTGTCTGCATACATTTGTATATTTAGAAATCTCATGTGTGCAATCTTGGTATTCCAAGGTAGCTGGGCTTACTGTAAAGTTAACCTCTTTTATCCAACATTAATAACCTGGATGTATAGTCTATTTCCAAACAACTAAAATTTAATTAATGTTACCAATGATATTAAAATGATACAGAATTTTAATCAAGTGTAACTCATAATTAATAACCATCTAATGGGTTATTTTCACTTGTAATTCTTTTCTTTTTTTTTTAATTTATTTATTTGACAGAGAGAGAGCACAAGTAGGCAGAGTGGCAGGCAGAGGGAAAGGGAGAAGCAGGCTCTCTGCTGAGCAGGGAGCCCGATGTGGGGCTCGATCCCAGGACTCTGGGATCATGACCTGAGCCGAAGGCAGCCACTTAACCAACTGAGCCACTCAGGCGCCCCCACTTGTAATTCTTGGAAAGAGTTAATGCTATCATTTCTTCCTCCATTCCAGTCTCCTGACCATATCAATCTGATTTGCAAACACCTATGTGAATAACAAACACTAATAAACCCACTTTTCTAATCCTGCACTTCTGGTATTTGAAATATCAGCTCTTCAGAAGACAGGGTTAAACATATAAATATTTGGCTACTTAATATTATCAACTAACACCCTTACTTGGGGTGTGACGATATCAGTGGCTCTCCGTTATATTCTCATGATGAATTAGAAAAATAATTCTACTCTATCATGGAAATGTTAGTTGATAATATTATATATTAGTGTGAAATTTAAGATGATTTTTTTCTATTTCCAAATCCTATGTCTTTTTCATAGAGCCATGAAATACTAAATTTAATGCTGTAGTTATACAACTACTCGATTTTAAGAAAA